AATAATCAAAACTAAACTTAACATCATATCATTATTTTGTTTGAGTTCAATACTAAACTCTCTTCACCTTTTATTAAATTGGAATTTCTATACTTACTTAATATTTCTCATCTCATACTATGTTATAAATCTCTTTGTTAGCTTCGAGTGGGTTCAATCTGCGCTCAAATCGGAGCTCTGTAGCTCGAGTTATGTTAATTTTACTAAACTAAGTTTGTACTGATTTTTTGAATTTAGCGTTTTGGCGCCCAACTTAGCGTTTAAACGCCCAGAGGCAGAAACATTTGCCTTCTCCAGGTCTCCATAGCGTTTTGGCGTCCAACTTGAGCGTTAAAACGCCCACTTGAGCGTTTTTGCTCCCATTTGCGCGTTAAAACGTCCAAGGGCAGAGACCTTTCCTCCATTTTACGAACTTAGAGCGTTTTAGCGCCCATTTCAGCGCTAAAACGCTCTCCAGCTGGGCAAAACATGTCGTCCCCTATTTTCATGTGACTCCATGGGAGATTTCCTCCCACTTTCACCATTCTTTTAACACCTAATAGACATTATACAACTTTAATACATGATAAACATACTACATATTCATCAATCCATCAAGGTCTCAATTACATCGTTGTTCTTACAAATTTCATATACATGCCAAAGGACTTAGCTACAAAAGAAACATGATCAAAGCCAAAAGCCATATACAACAAGGCATTCACCACTACAATGATCATGCACTAAGTCCCCCAAAATACATCATGTGTCCTCAAAATATACATATACATGTGGCAATGTAAATGACATATACATCTACTATCCTAGATGAGATGCAATCCAAAATGAGAAGCTATCAACATATGACCATCTAATCCAAATACGGCCACTTGCCACTAGAGGCTCCTGCGGCATCGGCACCTGAAAGGGGGTCCCCACAACAAGGGGTGAGATATACGAATATATCGCAGTAAACCAGGGGTCCTTGGAGCATCTCTCCATCCCATAGTTCAATCACAGTATAATATCAATAACAATAAATAATGGAATAAATACACATGCAGTGTGTAACAAACATCTCCAAGAGAAATCCCTCGAGCTCTTGCTGTCCTAAGGATACTCAAATGCAAATAGTCCTACTGGCCAGCTAAACTACCAAGTATGAATTACGCATTGTCATGCAACATACCAACATAGGAAAACACCATCCTATGCCACACCAAATGCATACACATACGTATAACAAAGCATTAAATTATTTCATTGCGTTTATATACACTATCAACAACCACTACCCATTCATGGCTTGGTGGAACAATAGAGGGATTTACACCCAAGGTCCGAAGGCTTACCTCAAAGCTCCAGTTCAACCTTTGCTCACCAACAAGTTTTGCCAACAATTACAATAATCAACTTCACAAACAACCACCTACACAATGTGTAATGCAATCAACATATTGCATTCAAGAGTATCTCATAATTATCAACCAAACTATCCAATTCATACCATAACAAAAACATGAATTTACCTATTTCAATGAGCTAATCAAGCTCTATAGCTCCCTCCAATGGTTGGTCACTCAAAGGTGGTCCAATTTCCTCAATCCTATCCATCACATGGACACAATTAATATCCATCCAAACCAAACCATGCCTTACAATACTAGAAAATCAACACTTCAAGCATAAATTTTCTAATACATGGAACAATAACTAAAAGATTACCTAAACTCATTTCTACCGTTTATTTATCATCACTAACCACATTTACAAAGGGCTTAAGCTTAAATCAACCTCACATACAACCCAAAAACACTATTCACCATCTTCCTCAACAATACATTCTTCATGAAAACAAAGTTCAAGGAGTGGAAACTCACCACAAACAGTTGCACAACCAAGGAATGTGGATCCCCTAAGCTCTCCTTGAAGGAAATGTCTTCAAACCTCTCCAACAACCATGTGGGTCGAATTTTTGGAGAAAGAAATCTCCCACCACAATGCTTCCCACTCACAACCAAGCTTGGATTAAGGATGAGAGGAAGATTCCAAGTGGTTTAGGCTTTTGAATCACTCAAATAGGTTGAGAATCCAAGGATCTAGGGTTTGGGCTTCAAGGTTTTGTTCTCCTCTCTCCCTGTTTTTGGCTCGAGGGATGTGGGGGAAATGAAATGGGTTTCAATTGCTTTTAGTCACTTAACATAGGTTAAGTGAGATCAACCGGGTATTAGCTCATCTATCTATTCAACTCTATTCACCACCAAACTTTACCCAAATATCTGAAATACTTTTCTGGGAACATTTCCACTTTTATTTTTATAATTTGGGTACTTTTGCCTACACCTATTTAATTTTCACTGAGTACACTTTTTACCTCAAAAGTAACCCAAATTCACTTAATTAGGCTTTATACTTATTTTTACTCACTAATACATGCTTAATTACTTAATTACACGTAATTTACTAATTAAATAAGCTAGGGCTATTATAGGGAGCATCAAGAGACAATTGTAATTGAGAGCACGCATGCAAAGTTATCTATGAAATGTTGTGCGTAAAAATGGGGTGAAATGGTAAGAGTGAGAAGTGAAATGGTAAAAATAGGGGTATATATAGGGCTCAAGTGTGACGCCCAAAAATGACGTCACATTGTGCAATAAATATATAATTATTTCCAAAACTATAATAAATGCGTAATTAATTTATTAAAAAGTATTAAATTAATTTTTTTGCCGATATCTTCGATCATTTTACATTTTTAGTATTATTTTTGAAGGAGTTTAAAATTTTAATTATGAATCCCCCTCAAACAAGATTAACTCTCATAAAAAATATACGTGATTTATCAAAAATAAATAAATAACCACAAGTCAATGTAAATAAAAATATTTTTCTATATGTACGTCAAAAAACAAAACTAATGAAGTAATTGTACAGTTGCACTTGTACAATACTTTTATGTTACATCTTTTTCTTATCAATTTTACACACATGAATTATTGATTATGCAGTTGCTAAATAATTCTGCATGAAAGTAAAGTCTTGTTTCTGTCCTTAAAGAATACTAGGGCCACCACCACTTTAGTTTTTTTTTTTTTTAATTTTTTTTCATCAAATTAATTATTTAGTTTTATAAAATGTTATCAAATTGAAAAAATAAACGTGACGGAAGTCGGAACCCTAAGCATGTATTAAAAAATGTTAATGCATGTATGGAAAAGTTATTTAAAAGAAATAATTACTATTTTTTTAAAACTTTATTAAAAAGCTATCAATTTTTTAGTACTATAATAAGTTAATTAAAAAATGTTTTTGATTAATGCTCATGCATAGAAGGAGTAAAAAAATACAATTAATTTTTTTTTTATTAAATTTGTCTTCACTCGTTTTTGATGAATTATTACAGAAAAACGTTTAGAGGAAAAGGAAAATATAAAATAGTTAATACAATTAATATTATAGTTTAAAATGTATAAAAAATATAATGAGTGAAATTTAATTTTTTAAGCCGTGAATAAAATGAGACATTTGTATTTATCAAAAAAGAAATGAGACATGTGTAAAAAAATAGATTTTTTTTTAGGTAACAAATAGATATTTTAAAATACACACTAAAACCTACTATGAGTCCTCCGACCAATCAAAATAATTCTAAAACCTGTATTTTTCGAAACTAGTATTTGAATTGGAAAACCAGTATGAAACATGAGAATATAATATAACATGAGTTTGACTTTAATTTATATATGGTATTAAACTTCATTTGTCTCATTTTATTTATTCCATGTGACACAAGTATATATTAAAAAAATAATGTTAGCAATAATATTTTTCTCATATTATTATACATTTTTACAATGTAAATGTGTATATGAAGCATGCAATAGACGCTGGTGAAATCTTTATATATTAAGAGGGTGTTGGATAGCCGGTCGAATTTATTTTTCCTGGAATTGTTTTTTTTTTTTTTTCATATGATAAAAAAATTAACACACAACATCAGTAAAATTAACCCAATATTCATGAAAAATTTTGGTCTATCAAATACATTTTAGTAACTTAACTAGAAAAAAATTTATTATTATATTTCTAAAAATTATTTTTTTTCGATAAAAAAAATTATGCTTTACCAAACCTCACTTAATATCCTTTATTGAAAATACCACCAATAACACAAAGAAAAAAGAAAAAAAGAGAGAGACTGAAGCGTAGAGCACAGAGGGTAGAGTAGAGTGTAGGGAGCATAGTGGAATGAAAATGGATAATTACACATGAAACATCTTATATTACTTTTACACTTTACTTATTTAAATATAAAAAAATAAAACGTGTATTGTCTTTTTTTTTAAATGAATATAAAAGTTTATATCTAAATATTATTGGTCAGAGTATAATTGCAAAGCGTGGCAAGAGAATAAGAGAAAGTATAGTCAATTGGAGGGAAGAGAGGGACAGCTGGTGGGTAGAAGGTCCTTCCTTCCATTTCACAATGGGGGAAGAAAGGTTTTCATTTTTATCAATTAATTCGCCACCAAATTAATATAAACATTTTAAAAATTATTATAAAATGGACCCTCCTAAAAGCTATAATTGTGTTTCAGGGCCTTGAAACATTTCTGTGGTGCAAATCGCAATCCCAAACGCTCTAAGCTGAAAAGAGAAAGAGCCTCTCTCTCTCTCTCTCTCTCTCTCTCTGCTCTTGTCCGTGCTACTGCAACTTGCTACCCATTTGTTCCAAATTCCAATTTTAATCCTTTTTATTATTAATATTAATAATAATATTATTGCAGAGAAACATTGGTTAGACAGAGAGAGAGGCAGTGGAGGTTAAGAGGGAAACAGAAGCAGAGGAAGAAATAGAGAAAGCGCGACGGTGCGTACCTTAGCACCAGCCCTTTCCATGGATTCCTCTCCGTCGTCGTCTTCTCTCTCCTCCGCTTTCTCTCTCCACCAAATCGCTTCGTCCCCACGGCATCCTTACTCTTAAAGGACCGATTCCAACCACTCTCCGATTCCATTATTCCTTTTTTTTTTTTCTCACATCTCTCCACAATACTGGCTGACATAAAGGGTACCCTAGTGTTCCTCTCGTCGATTCTCGCCGATCGTTTCGATTTCAAGTCCAAGAAGAAAAAGAAGAGAAGGGGCTTTCACCGCCTCAGAATGTTGTGGCTAATGAGATTCTCGGGGTTTTTCTCCGCCGCGATGCTCGTGATTGTTCTCTCCCCTTCCCTGCAATCCTTCCACCCCGCCGAAGCCATCCGTTCCTCCCACCTCGACGGCCATCTCCGCCTGCCGCCGGTTCAAATCCCTCCTTCCGATGGTGACAACCGATTTTCGTTTCGGAAAGCCCCTGCATTCCGCAATGCCGATAAATGTGGTTCGAATCGAAGGGGCATTTCTGAGGATACAAGTGTTTGCGACCCTTCCTTGGTACACGTGGCCATAACTCTCGACGTGGAATACCTCCGTGGCTCAATCGCCGCCGTCCACTCCATCCTGCAACATTCCCAGTGCCCGGAGAACATCTTCTTCCACTTCCTCGTCTCGGAGACCAATCTGGAGTCCCTCGTTAAATCCACTTTCCCTCAATTGAAGTTCAAGGTCTATTACTTCGATCCAGAGATCGTGAGGAACCTGATCTCAACCTCCGTGAGGCAAGCGTTGGAACAGCCATTGAACTACGCGAGGAATTACCTTGCGGATCTTCTGGAGAGCTGTGTAGGGAGGGTGATATACCTAGATTCCGATCTAGTCGTTGTGGATGACATCTCAAAGCTTTGGAGTACAAGCCTGGGTTCTAGAACCATCGGTGCTCCGGAATATTGCCACGCAAACTTCACAAAGTATTTCACGGCGTCGTTTTGGTCGGACAAGCGGTTGTCGGCGACGTTCGCGTGGCGGAAGCCGTGCTACTTTAACACGGGAGTGATGGTGATAGATCTCGTGAGGTGGAGGAAGAAGGGTTACACGAAGCGGATAGAGAAATGGATGGAGATCCAAAAGAGTGATCGGATCTACGAGCTTGGTTCACTGCCACCGTTCCTTCTGGTTTTCGCGGGACACGTGGCTCCAATCGAGCACCGATGGAACCAGCACGGTTTGGGTGGCGATAACGTAAGGGGGAGCTGCAGGGACCTCCACGCAGGGCCGGTTAGCCTGCTGCATTGGTCCGGCAGCGGCAAGCCATGGCTCCGGTTGGACTCAAAACGGCCCTGCCCGCTCGACGCTATGTGGGCCCCTTATGACTTGTACGGACACACTCATTGATTAAACGACGAGCCATGAAGAAGCAAAGGGTAGTCGCTGGTAAATTCTCTCAGAGTACTGTTTTGTGATATCACTTCACTCTGTTCATTTAATTTAATTCTCATTTCGGTCTATTTTTTTTTTTTTCTTGATTAATATTTTGTTCCCCCACTTCTCTTCTCTTCTCTCCTCTTCTGTTCTCTTTACTATGGACGGATCAGATGATATCTACTCATTGAGTTATTAGTTTTTCGTATATTTCTTCTCTAGACTTGGTTTCTCAGGGCGTTTTTTCTCCCCCTTTTGTATTCTATTATTCTATTACGTGGTTCTTGCTTTGAAAATAAATAAAATAAAGAAAAGAACAGGTGGATCTTCTATCTTCTTGTATAGATTTTGAGATGAACGATGGACTAAGATTTTATAGAGTATCAACATTCACAGATAAAGCTGACCTAAGGAAAAACAATTATTGTGCTTTTTGATAAATCCATTAATTGGTATCGCGTAACATAAAATTATGAAATTTGATTTATTTGTTTAATGGCTTGTGTCTGCCTGGGTTCTTGTTTGATTATTAACCTTGACTGCGTTCACCAGCTAAGCGGTAGAGATTGACCTTAGGATTTAGTACCTTGGTGTTTTGAGGATGGTTGGTGGCGGTAGACGGTAGTCCATGTGCAAATTTGCATTTATCATGTAATTGTTATTAATTTCTTTTTGTGGGGAAAATATAGTGTTCAAATATTAGTGTGTTGGTGTTGGGAAATTTGGTCCCGCCACTCTGCTACTCAGTAATGGGAACAAAGAAGAGAAGTTGAACTGTTGTACTTGTTGTTATTTATAATAAATAATGCAAAAAGCAGGGGGAAGAAGACACGTATGTTGCTGGATAGCTTAGTTGTGCACGTCTACAGAGAGAGGGGCCAAAAGGAACCAACAAGGGTCTAGGCTAGCTTAAGTTTAAGATATGGGGGAATCTTGCCGGCTGCAGTAGCCAAATCAGGCATTGGAACAATCCAATGAGTTCGAGGATTGCGTTGGCAGCGAAGCTTAAGGCTAAGTTCGCGGGCACTCTGAGGGAAGCAGTGCTTCGCTGGAAGCGGCGGAACATTTGTGATTGTTTGTGAGCAATCTTCCCCACTCTGCATTTCTTGCCTCTCACTCTCATTTTGTCCTTTGCACCGCAAGCATTCTTGACCATTATCTTCTGTCTTCCATTCCACCATGCGGTGTTCATGTTTATTCAATTCCCTTCTCCCCACAATAAATTGAAGACTTTTGTTTTCATCAATCTTGACATTGTTGGGTAATTTGTTTTTATTTGAAAAATAGAACATATTCGAAAGAGTTGTGATGAAAGCATAGCTAGGAGGTTGAACAAATCAAGTTCAATGGATATGTGGGTTGAGAGGTCCTGATGTCATTGTTGCTTGTAAGTGTCTGCATAATGAGAGGGTGCGGGGACCGTTTCCTCTTTACCCTTGGACAGTTACTTGGAGTCTTCCTTTATAGTTTCGGGCTACTTGTGTTCGTTATGTGTTTTTTCCTATCTATTTTTATTTCTTTAATTTGTATTCTAGAACATAAAAGAAGCATCCATAGTGTGCATATGATCGGTTAGAATGGAGTCTATCATTTGATTGTTTTTGTCTCAATTTATATAATCTAAAGTAGGTTGTGAATAATGTATCCAAATTATTCATATGTGAGCTAGCATTGCTAGCTGGGGCTATATGATACTTAGGCAGTTGATTAAATTATGGAATAAAGTTTTAATGTCGGGTTTAAGATAATATATTACTAATAAAGGATTGGGACGTAGCAACGGATGCCTGGGCCAGTGACACATTTTATGGGCAAATGGTAAAAGATTAGTTTTATGACGTTGACATGCTACCACAATTGTTATAATAAAGAAAGTAATTCTTTTGATTTGATATTATATGTTTGGACGGGTTCTTGCATATGGAGATGTAAACATCGCTATTCTTTGCTATTTTTTTCTTTAAACTGCAGAGGATTTCAGCCTATGACAACATTTTGTTTGATAAAAAAAAAAATTAAAAATAAACAAATCGGTTCAATGATTTTCTCAGAGTGAACATAGATAAAGCAATTCCGATACTCTATAATCACCTTGCAGATAAAATCTCACGATATGTTTGTCAAAACTATATTTATAATTTCTTATTATAAAAAAATGTTAGTTTTATGGATGAGATGTCGTGATCTTTAATGAGGTAAAAGACAAGGCTGCTAACCGCATAGGCCAATGTTGTCGTACTTCATTCCCTCGATTGATTATGGAGCTAATATGTGCTTCTAATTGAGTTATTCATTTCCAAGGTTTTCATTATTTTTATAATGTTTTTTATTTTCATTTTTTTTCCCTTAGCATTTGCAATGGCTTCATCTGCATGAAGCGAAATTAATTATTCTTTTAAAAAAATTGCTTGCCACCAAAATTTCAGTGGGTAAAGGTAGTTAATTCATGTGGATGGAATTGGAACCTGATTCGTTTTTTCAATGTCAATGAGCAGATCTTTTCATGGATTTATTGTAAACCAGTTGAAGGCAAATAAAACAAGCTCATTCTCAAGGTAAATAAAGCTCCAAATTGCCAAGATTTCTCACGGCTCTTTCTGGGTGCTGGGAGGTGAACGAAACTGGGCCCCATAACCAATTTTAATCTATTGGTCCCCATCTCCTCGTGGTGTATTTGCTCTTGGTTTTCTTTCTCCTTTTGTTCTGAAATCATATTATGAATAACATTTAAGGAATAAATGTGTGTCATTTTAAAAGATGTAAAATTGTGTCATGCTGAGAGATAGATAAAGGAGGAGAGAGTTGACAAAAAAAAAATATGTGAGTCCCACCTCTTTGTGAGAGTGAAAGGATATAAGTTGTGTCGATTAAAAAAATAAATATTTTTCCCAACATGGGAAATCAACGATGATAAAAAAAAACAAAAACGCAATTTGGGCCCTCGAGTGAAAATTCCTATTTCAAGTAGGTCCCTGTCCCAACTCTCAAGTTAATATAAAAGAAGGCTCCATCAATCATTGGATGCTAAGAATAAAATTTACATATAATCTTTCTTTAAATAATTTGGTAAGCTGTCGGTGGAATCTTGTTTTTTGTGCGATCAGCCTTACGTGAGAAAAAGCTTATTTTGTAATCGAAATTTCTTACAGCCTTACAGGAACCATATAATTTCTGGCGCAATTATATGGAGAACAAAAAAATCATGTGCAATGTATGTGAATAACAAATTTGTATTCCACTAAAATTGTTGAAAGAAATGCAATTCAACAATCATTATAATAATTCTCTAAACCATTTTATTCATCTTTTGGATGATGCTATAACCTATTTCTTTATGAAAATGTTTATAATAGAAGAACACTTGACTGCTAGGTATGAGAACATTAAGGGAGTTGGTAAAAAATTGGTGATCTTTTTTTTTCTTCAGTAATACCTTTTTTTATTTTTTTTAAGCCATGACATCAGCATTGAGCAGTTGGAGAATACTTTTGTTACAGCCACCAATGCGCAATATTTACAAAAGTTATATTCTATAATTTGAGATTCGGTTCATGATGAACAAACTTTGTAAGTGACGAATTGACGATATGATTATACATTACCTAGGAATTGACGATATTTTTACCATGAACTTTTAAAACATACTTCAAAGGTGGGAATATTTCATTTCCACCTTCAAATTCTTAGAAATAATTTAACAGAACTTGGAACAAACACCTTTTAATAGGTTATAATTTTGAATTACCTTAATTAAATAGACATATTATCACGTCTTAGGCTTATTATGGACCTAAGTTCATGGTAACACAAATTTATTTCCAGGATAGACTAAGCCCTTGGCAACAGACGAGAGTCATCTTCTCTGAAAGAAGTTAGATAATATATAGATCGCTTATATTACTTCTTGGAACTACATGTAATGTTATTAATGGTTAAGATCCTAGAAACAGTGCCAGATTTGGTTTCAGAGTCTGGGATGTTCACTGGTCATTATTACACGAAGGAAAGGAACAAAATGGAGAAGAGGAGGAAGTACGAAAGTATCCAAAAAAGAGAAGAGGCCTTTGGAACCTTTACAGCTAGAAACCATGGGGTGAGTTAATTTGGGGGTGCATGGGACCATAATTACAACAAATATATATCACGTTAGGTCTACCTACATTTTACAAGTTACGAAGGTTCCTCCCAGGACTAACACCTCAGGCTCAAATATATATCACAAGGCAGCTCCTGCCTCACTCGATGGGACATGCTCACATGCCTGTTTTGTGTTGAAAATGCTTATGTAAACTCTTCAAATGGATTTTGGGGTGCCCAAGGAAGGGACACCCTTCATTGAAAATTGTAAAAAGTATTGAATTTCCCGGGACCTTAACTTTAATCAGTTTTATGACAAACATGAATGCTTTTCTTAATTGTTGGTCAGAAGGCAGAAGCAGAGTTAATGAAGGAAGGTCATTTCTGATTTAAATGCAGACCTTTCATCACCTGTTTGCTGCAATTTTTAACTCAACTATTCCAAGTTGATTTTCATATCTTAAAAAGTACTTGTGTGGAGCCTGCAAGGTGAATAAGTAGGCGCAGAGCATATATTGGGGCAGGGATATATCTGGGTCCAATCGAGCCGGTTTTTTTGAAAAATTGAATCGAATTGGTTTAAATGTTTCGGTTTGGAAGTATTTTGGTTCGGTTCAAAACTGGTTTGGTTCAGAAGTGGTTCGGTTCGGTTCGGAAATGATTCGGTTCGAAACCGGTTTGGAACCGGTTCGGGTCGACCTTCTTTTGAAAAGAAAAAAAATTAAAAAATTAAAAAATAAAGTTATAAAAATCAATTTGATTCAGTTTGAAAACGGTTCGGTTCGGAAACGGTTTAGTTCGGTTCAAAATGGGTCGGTTCTTAAACTGGTTCTAACAATCAGTTCGGTTCTTAAACTGGTTCTAAAAACCGGTTCGGTTCATAAATTAGTTCTTTAAAAACCGATTCGGTTCATGAACTAATTTTTAAAAATCGATTATTTTAAGAGGCGGTTCGGTTTGGTTCAGTTCAGTTTGGTTCAATTTTTTAGTTATTTTGTACACCCTTGGAGGTTATGGCTTTGGCTACAAACTTGATGAAAAAAGTTGAATTCTTTCAAACACTATCAAAGTGGTCCATGTTTTCCTCCAATTTCTTGTTATCTTGTTTATTATGTGTCACATACAAATTGGGGTCACGCGCTCTTATTTGTTATACATTGATGTGACACAGATACCATCGAAATATGGAGTTCAAAATCATTAACAGATGAAGTCCATGAACTTACAAGCAGCTAGCTGGGGCGAGAGTGACAAAAAATCACGGAATCAAATAATTACAACACTTACTTGTCTATAGCCAATTCTATTTCCAAAACAAGGCTGTGTCTGCTTCACGACCATGATAGTGGGGACCATCTGGGTAAGATTCATACAGCTCCTAAAGGGGACCAATCACACTACGTTGTGTGACTTAAATTAATAGCTGTTTTCAAAAAAATAGCTCCTTAGACTACGTTGAATGGATTCAACCATGAGGGAAATGCAGGTTCGACTCTGACACAACTACGAAATGGTAATGCTAGATATAAAGATATAATATATTTATTTATACCAAATGGTAATAGCTAATTTTTGGTAACAAGAAGACTGAGCAAGTGAAAAGAAAAAAATCTCGCTTCAATCTTCACATGTCATTTTTGGGGAGAGGTTTAAATATCTTCATCTCTAACCCGTCTCACACTCCGAACTAGTTTCATAACAGATTCAAAGAGTCGAAATTTGTGAAAATATCGGAAGGAACCAACTCTAATGTACTATGTACGGTAACTGAGATATTTATCCATTCTAGTATTTTAAGTTTGGGCTTTGATTTTTTCATATTGTGAATTAATTAAAGAGGGACTCCACGCTTATTTAAAAAAAAAATCACACATAAATGGAAATGTCACAACGGAAAATATTGAGAAATGTTTTCCCTTTTTTAAGTTTTGAACCCACTGAAGCACCCTAACAAAACCGGGTATGAAAATGAAAGTGATCCAAACATTATCTACTTTATCTTCATTCACTTCAATGTGAGACAACAATTTGCTGTTCACAGACAACCCTTCCCAGTAATTCCCGCATAACCTGAACAAATGCAAGACAAGCTCAGTTACTCTGTTCCATGCTCTTGTGCAATCACCTTTTGTGATAACGGTGTTGACTTGTGACCTTCAGAAAATGACTGTATCACAACGTGGAATTGGCTTTCCTTTATGATTATCTCTCTGAATTCTGAAAACAATGTTAAATATGCAAGCAGTTATGATGATATTTGAGTCCAACCTAACACAACCTAACTGAATAGAAGGCTTCATTGTCCATATTTTTTATTGCATGGAGAAGTTATTCGAGTTAGTGATAGATGGAACGTCGATAGTATTTTGAGCATCTAAAAAGGGTCTAAAACTGGTGATACTCAAACAAATCTCGTTATTGCCAAAAGTCATTTGTTACGACTCTGAGGATTGGGAATTGGGGAAAGCAATTTAGATCATAGAAAATAGAGTGCAAAGTGAAACGGAAATGATGTTTTATTGAATGAAAAAGAAGCAGTAAAATTCTTGGTGATCCCTCCAAAATGGATACAGAACCAATATATACCCATATATTCCCATGATTCCCACATTCCTGCAAAATATAGACCCAATAAATTCCCATGATTCCCTCCTTCCTGCCAAATATAATACACTAGCAAAAATAAAGCACTTAGCCTAATTTCATTTGGCACATTTTTGCATGTGTAGACCTTCCATGTGACCGGTTGATCTTTTTTCTCCTTCCTTGGCTCATCATTTGTAACATGATTCTAGCTACTTCTGTGAGTTTTTCTACACGGACAACAACAGTAAGAACCATGACTCGAACATTTCAACTTCGATACGGCTATTCGGAAGCTAATATTTTTCAGCAAGAGCTGCAAGAGATAATCACACAAAACTCTTTTGGAATAATGACCTGATCATTCGCTGTGTACCTCGCCAATGGGTGCACAAAATAAGATTATAAGAAATTAGAATACCAAAAGGTTTAGACTTAAAAACAACAACACTTCCTATCATGTTTTGACTCGGCAGTTTTATCCAAAAACCGATGACCGGTTGGATTGCAACAATCCAATTCACTAACCCATAAGAAGAGGTTGTGAATAGGCAAGCCTCACAAATTTTTCGCGCAGTCATATGATTTATAAAGAGTAATTTTTCTCGTATTCAAAACAATATGACATTAAACTCCTACTTTATTGTACCAGACTTCAGTCTTATTGCCATTGTAACCGGAAGGCGTGTCTCAATTTTTCTAAGCTCCAGCCAATAGCAGAGCCGGCCCATTCGTTAAACTAAGGCCAACAATGAGACCTAATACAAATTTAACCCAAGTCAAGGCCCTAAATGGCTTCACCAATGCCGGCCTCACTTCAATTTCAGTGGAGGCAGTATCAGCGCTGACTTGAAACTTTAATTGAAACAATAACTTGTTGGACCATCTGGGGCTTCGCGTGCATATAAATTATACGCGAATTGGAGGAGAATAGCCCCACGAAACAGAACTCGTAAAATACTCAAAAACTCAGCGTATTTTTCCAGAAACCTCCTGACTTGTAAAAATCATAATAAATCGGGATTTCAGAATTTCATTATAAGGTTTATATAATCTGAAAGTACACAACTGGGGCTTTACATCCATATAAAGTATACCTCAATCGGAGGTCTGTAGCCCCAGAACAACAACTCGCAAAGTGCTCGCAAAAACAGTTCAAAATCCGAATTTAAATACTACAACAATTCTTTTCGCAAGCTAAATACCAGAAACATAAAAGTCATGCTAAACTTCTTTTCAAGACAAAATATACATCATGGCATGCCGTACTTTAAGAAACTACATCAAGGTCAAGTAATCAGAATACACTCAACAGAGACAGCGAGCGCAAACAACAAGGTTGTCAACAGTATAACTTAAACATAATAGTCATGTACTCAAGTCATCTAACACTTCTTCAAATGCCTCTAAGCCCTCCTGCAATTTATAAAAATTGAGCCCCCGAAGGGGTGAGAGAAATCCCAGTAGTGTGGCAATAAAACCAATATAGCAACAATATTATACTAGGTACAAAATTCCAAAACAGTCACATCAACATTTAATTTTCCCAGATAGATGCTAACATAATAATCATAGTGCGTACATAACGCCAAGGTACTAGTCATATTGCGTATATAACGCCAAAATACTAATCAAGATGCGTATATAATGCCAAAGGGTACGTTCATAGCACCGTCGTGCACGTACTAACAAGTACAATGGAGATCCCATAGTGGCTCCTCAAGAGGGTTCCAACTGCAACCTATGCGGACTGAAGCCAAGTGTCCCATACCCTGGTACCGGAGGGATGCCTATATGATGCGTGCTCAAACGTATGCTTATAGTTATTATATACTTCAGTCTCCAAAATGAATGCATAATGCGGTATGCGATGGCATGCTTGACACACACACAAACAGACACAGGTGAAACATGATGTGCATATGCATGACTAGATCATATTCATAATAGCATATTGCTCTTGTATATTTGATACCAAGCTACCGATTAACAAATATTTCCATAGGCAGAATTTTCCATCATGACAAGTCCAAAAACAGGATACATATATCATATAACAGAATACTAGTCATAAGGCACATGTGAGCATCAGTTCAAAATTCTATACGCTAGCTAATAGTCACAGTAGATCTCACCACCAAACACATACCTTAACTCTTTAGCTTTTACATCAAGCATTCCGAATATCATCAAACAGTCCAATTATTCAGGACCTTGCGCACCTAAACAACCACGTACGACAAATCAGAATTTATTATATTCATTCAATTACGTTACATATCTTTCCATTCTCCTAAATCTTTGGTTTCCAATCGGTCTCAAGGTTCTTAAATTAAATTATCATTCTAATTCAAAGCTGCCTTACCATAAGTTAATTATCTTCCTGTCTTTAATTTTTGTCGTATTAATTTCTAGCAAGTAACAAAAAGAATCATTCCAAGGACCTACACATGCAGGTTTGGTTTAGTTAACAACTAGGTACACATAGCTTTTTCATTTATACAAAATTTAGAACACACAATTCCTTAAGCATACAGGTTCGATTTTCATGATTACTAGGTGCCTATAAATTCATCTTAACAAAACTCTACAATTGTCATTTAATCACTGTTAATTAAATTATACATTATACATGTTGTCTATATAAATTCAGAGTATGCAAAGCTGGATTAAAATACTAATTCAACTGGACAACCCCAAAGCATAACAAAGGGTTATTTTCCAAATTCACAAAATCTATTTCGGCTTGCTGTACTGAAGTTCATGGCTGATCTAATGATTAAAAACAAAAGAATGTAACAGCCTTTTGACCATGGTGATGTGAGTTTTAAAATGTATCACCAGAATGATTTCGAGGTGAAATGTATTGTCGGAATAGTGCATAACGACGCGGTGGACAATGTACCGTTTTCAGTCGCGTTTTGTTCAAAACCGCGTTACATGCAACAGAAATCACGTGACAATCGGTGCTGGAAGTGATGGAACTGGGCTGAAGTGATGTAACTGGAACGTGATCGTGTGAAGACTGCGTCTCTGCAGTGTCGGAAGACCACTGACGCGGTACCTGTCAAGCCGCGAACCGCCAGCCAATGGTGGTCCACCATCTCCTCCACTGAAGGCGGTCGTCTCAAAGCCGCGTCCAGGAGGCGTTCTTCTAGATGCCGCATCCAGCCCTCCTCGGACCACTACTTATTCTCCCTCGTCTCAGTCAGAAGATCCCAGTCTCTTCCAACAAAGAACGCGTGTAGTGGTTGTGGGGTTTCTTTCAGTTTGCCATTGTCTGTATCATTTTCAAGTAAGTAGTATTATTATATGCTTGGTTTGCTATATTATTAAAATTAATGGGTTGCAGTATTATTAAGATATTAGGTTTGCTGTATGATTAACATATTAGATTTGTCATATTTTCAAGTAAGTAGTATTATAATCTGGTCCACATGTGTTAAAATCATATTATTAAGATATTAGATTTTTGTAAGTTTCTCTTTTTGTCTTAAAATGTTAGAATAGTGAATTTAATTGTGATTATTGCTATTGTTTATAGTATTAATATTTTGTATTTAATTGCAACAAAAATTTGTGATTATTGTATTAATAATTTTATAAAATTTGTTCAATATGTTATATGCTATATTAATAATTTTATTGTATTTTTATGTTCTTTAAAGGTCTCTTTCTTTGTTGCTAAAAATATTAGGTTAGTATATTTAGTTTTTATGATTTGCTAGTAATTTTATTAGGCTTTTTGACCACTGTAGCCCTTTATTAATAATTATTTACCAAATTGCCCTCGATTAGAAACTATTACGAAAAATTAACCCTCCAAACAAACATAACACCAATCTGCCCCTGTTTGACCGTTGACCACGAAGCATACCCGGGTACCCCACTCCATACCCGGGTATATTTTAAAAAAATCAACCATACCCGGGTATGTAGTGGGGTACCCGGGAATTATTCTTCGATCTGGAAATTTTTTGAATTATTTACCCGGGTAGGTAATGGGGTACCCTGGTAGATTTCGCGAATAGGGTACCCAATACCAAGGGTTTCGGTCATTGTTGCGAGGTAGAGTTTTTTCTCCCCAAATCAGTTTCCCTTCACGTCTCTATTCCGAAGCATCACACATATATTTCATCTCATCATCTCAAAAAGTTTAATCTTGGTATTGGCATTACACCTCCACATTTCCATTTTTGTGTTAAAAAATCCGAACCAAGATCCAAACCCAAAACCTAAACCCAAATTTTCGTGTGAAAGATGAGTTCAAGTCCTATCATGGTACCTATAGTTATTTACTACAATGGGAGGCATTTTGAAGGTCCGAATGGTGTCCGATTTGAAGGAAAAACAAAAACGATGAAAATCAAAGTGGGCACTACATGCAATGAACTCAAGGACAGAATTCTCCAAAAAATGGGGTCAGAAGGCATCCATTCCATCCACCGCATGATAGCCAGGTTAGAGACTATTGTGGATATGGATACAATATACTACATTGGTAACGATATCAATGATGATGAAGATGTGGAGTTCGTCACAGATGCGTATGTTGGATGGAAAGTATTAAAAATGATTGAGATATATGTTGAATTTGATGCTGGTCAGTCTTCATCGTTACCGGTGCATACAACCACTGCGCACTGTATTGGTCAAGAAGATACAATTGTACGATCATCTGCACCTGCTCAGGTAACAATGGATAAGGATGAAGACGATGAAGATGAGGAGTATGTGGACAGCGAAGATGAGGGAGAATCTGAAAGTGCTATTCCATAGGGTGATTCGTCTGACACTGACGTGGATGAAAATTTTGACGCTGACACGAGCGCTGTAAGGCTGGGTACCCCAGTCATGTCACCACTTCATGTTGATCCTGTCAGTTCACCACTTCATGTTGACCCTGTTAGTAGCGGTAAGTTATTAAATTTTCACATTTGCTTTAATAAATTATATATATTCGGTGATATTGATTCAGACAATAATCAATGAAGCTTTAGATGCAGGGACTGCGGTAGAGCCATTTTGAAATGAAAGCCAACATTATTCATTCATTAATTGGGCGCACCCTAATGACGAGTTGGAGATCCTGTATGGGGATGATGACTTGCACGGAGGTTGGAAGTTAGGAGATCCATTATTTGTGCAACAAGAATTTGGCTCCAAACCAGAAATGCAACATGCTGTGAAGATACATTGTATGAAGGGGCGCAGGACAGCCATAGTCGAAAAAAGTGACGAGTCCAGATTTGTTATGAAATGTAGAAATCATACTGACGGATGTCCATGGTTTATGAGGGCAATCAAGCCCAAGAAGGGAGCTAATTGGGTGGTCCGTAAATGGGGTGAAGATCACACATGCCTGAATCAAGGCCTTTCACAGGATCATAGACAGTTGGACTCAGATGTAATATGTGCGGCTATTATAAGTATGTATTCTACGATGAACTTAACGAATCTTCTAATTGAGAATATGGTAAAGTTGTGTTTTTTTTTACAGACATGTTAAAGGAAGATCCAGCTACAAAACCAGTTCTGATACAAGAGAGGATACAAGGAATATATGGATACAACATCACGTACAGGAAGGCTTGGAAGGCAAAAATGAAAGCCATTGTTAAGTTGTATGGTGACTGGGAGAAATCCTATGGATTCTTGCCCAATTGGCTGATGTATATGACGCAGGTGAATGTGGGTTCTGTGTTCAAGCTTGATATAAATCCATGTTGTGACGAACGTCGGGTTTATACAGACAGATCTATATTTCATAGGGTTTTTTGGACATTTCACTAGTGCATTGAAGCATTCAAATACTGCAAGCCTATAATTCAAATTGACGGCACTCATCTGTATGGGAAGTACAGAGGAACACTCTTGATTGCAACATCACAGGATGGAGATGGACATCTGCTCCCTATTGCCTTCGTTGTTGTTCCTCTAGGTGAGAAGTTGGAAGATTGGTCTTGGTTTCTGAGCCTTTTACGTTTTCATGTCACACATAGGCACGATATTTGCCTAATATCTGATCGTCATCGAAGCATCATAAGGGCGGTCAAAGATCACGCAGCCTCATCACCTATGTCATGACCCCCTGCTGATCCACCCTCCAAGCGTGTCATCCTGCTTTCCATCGTTGTTCGCCACTTGCTTGTACTCTGTCTGTAGCCCCTAAACTCACTCATCACGGCGTCCTGTCCACATGTCAAGCGATACATGGAGGCCATCACATGATCAAATGTCCATCATCCCTCAGGAGCTGTCCATCCCCCCTCAAGTGATGGTGGACCTGGTGGTCGTCGTGTGCGGCTGCGATGTGCAGGAGTGGGATCAACAGAATGGACAACATCATCTGAGTCATCATCATCAAGTCCTGCATCAACATCATAAAAAGTAGACATTAAAATGTGGATGGTGCAAAAATATTAACCCTACTGCTACCCTAAATCCAAAAAACATTTACCTGCACCTGCATCCTCCATCTGAGCATCGTGCTGAAGGGGGACCTCTGGTGGTTCAGATGCCTTCTTCCAGTACCACACACCTGCTGGGCTCTGCATAATCCTGCATTGCTTCAAAAGGCGCTCCCCAAAGATGGCATTCCATCATGTGGCTGTCTTCATGGTCTCAGTTGCCATAGGAACACCAAATCTTTGCAAAATCTTCTGGACCAGGAATGCAAATGGCAATTCAGCCTTTTTTGACTTGGCCGCCTTCCACATCAAGATGCATATGTAGTGCCTCCAGTTCACCTTAATATGGTGAAGGAGGGCCCACAATATCACAAAGTCACCTTCCAGCACCTTCGAACGATTATGAGGGCGCTGGAAAATAATGTGGGTCACCACATAATGAAGTATGCGGGCAGACACGGACAAATTGCTGACAGGATAATGAGTAAATTGTCCGGCCTCTGCATCTGCCCTCCTGGTCTCAGCCACAACAGCCTCCCTATCATAACTACCAAATATATGATGGTTGTCTCCGTCATATAGTGCTGACCCTGTCTCACCGTCGAAGTCAAATCCCAGCAACTCTGTCCACATAGGAGCAGTAAGGATGATATCAATCCCGCATACACGGGAAGTTAGCTCACCATGCACATAGCCCAGGTTCTGGTAGAATGCTCGCACCATGACCTCTGAGTACAGGCACCTCATCTCCGCAAGCACCAGCAAATGTGTTTGCTGAAGAAGTGGGACTATGTCGAACTGCTCCAAATTGAAGAACGCCGAATCCAGTGATTTCGGCTCACAAATTTTTCGGCTCATGAAAAACTTCATAAACCGCTCGTGTGCACCAGCGTCATCCTCAAATAAATATCCGAACGGCAAGTCCGGAGCCTGATGCACAGCCTGGGGCTGAGAGGAGGAAGATACATCATGTCGGTGCTTGCTCCTCCCTTCAGTATTCATCGCTCTCTTCTTCCCAGCGCGTCTGTCCTCCATGCAATAACACTGTAAAAAAAAATTAAAAAAAAAATTCAATTTCAGAGAATATGGATAAACAGGTTTAGGGTTAGGGTTTGGGTTAGGGTTTTTTATTAGCAACAAATCAGAATGCATTTTGAAAACGAAAATTAACAATACGCAAAGCAATAAATTAAAATGCATACATGATTACATCAAGGTCAGGCCGATTTTTATGATGAATCAGAAATTCAAACGGAAAAAAATAACAAATCTTGAAATTTCAATCGGTAGAAGGAACCCATACCGTGCGCCAAGGATGATGACAAAGTCTTGAGATGATCGATCAAACGTGCTCCCAGAATGGACGAAATCGCACTTCAGCAGCTCTCTACCCGGGTACCCTTTGTGGGTTTTCCAAATGGGGGCTGCTGGGGCTTTAAAAAAACCCTATTCGCGAAATCTACCCGGGTACCCCATTACCTACCCGGGTAAATAATTCAAAAAATTTCCAGATCGAAGAACAATACCCGGGTACCCCACTACATACCCGGGTATGGTTGATTTTTTTAAAATATACCCGGGTATGGAGTGGGGTACCCGGGTATGCTTCGTGGTCAACGGTCAAACAGGGGCAGATTGGTGTTATGTTTGTTTGGAGGGTTAATTTTTCGTAATAGTTTCTAATCGAGGGCAATTTGGTAAATAATTATTAATAAAGGGCTACAGTGGTCAAAAAGCCAATTTTATTATTAATGTTTTATATTTAATTGCATAAAATTTTATTATTATTCTATTAAAGTTGTTAATCAAGCAATATTTATATTATTAAATTTGTTAAAAGTATTATATTATTATTATTATTATTGGCTTTATATTTAATGCATGATTAAAATTTGTGTCTACACTGGTCCTATTTATTTTTTGTCTTCTAACATTGTTTTATATTATGCGTATAAGATTTTAGTACAATTGTATTCATTATTCTATTAAAGTTGTTAAATATGTTATATTTCTATTATAAAATTTGTTAAAAACATTATTATTATTATGAATATGTTATGGTTATTGGACTTATATTTTTTGCATTATTAAATTTTTACGGTCCTTAAAATCTTAGGTTAGCCTATTTATTTTTTAAAATTTTCTATTATTTATTATTATTGCTGTTTTATTTTCAATAGCATAAAATTTTTATTATTATTGTATTAGTTATTTTATAAAATTCGTTAAATGTGCTATATATTGTTATGACATTAAACTTGCATAACACAGGTTCATGGCACGTGAGGTGATTAATCCGGGTCCCGAAGATTACAGTGTGTTGAGAATTGATGTGCAAGAAACACATGTGTCCCAAGTTGTATGGAACTCGGGATTGCAGAGGGTTCTCAAAGTTCGTAGAGAAACGCACGGGAAGGAGTCAGATCCGCATGATCCGGATAACAATCCGGAGCCAGTGGTGGAGCACCTTAGGCGTGCAGGCTTTTATCATGTTGCACGCATGCGTCATATGTCGGTTAGTTATTTAAAAGTGACATGAATTATGTGTTTGTACTTATTATAGGATAATGACTACTTTTATCCTTGTATAATGTGTTGCAGATTGATCATTCACTTATAGTGCTCTGGTTGAGCGTTGGCGCCCAGAAACACATACGTTTCATATGCCGCAGGGCGAAGTGACCATTACTCTTCAAGATGTGAATGCTATTCTTGGATTGTCATCAGACGGGGAACCCCTTATTGGACCGACATGCGCAAATTGGAGTAATGTTGTACAACAAATGATAGGACACCAACCTTTGCCGCATGAGATTGAGGGAAGCTATTTGCGAATGTCCTTCATAGATCGACACTATGGACATTGGGTTGCGCACCAAGGCATGCCTCATACTGAACTCCTCTATTCACGGGCTTATATATTTTGCCATTTCTAGATGGGGATTTTTCGGGTATGACCACGTATAGTTGGGGCGCAGCAGTGTTAGCACTCCTCTACAGGGAATTGTGCATGGCGACAAACCCAGCCCAAAATATTATGTCTGGTTGCCTGACCTTGTTGCAGATATGGGCATGGTCCAGATTCCCCCCCATTGCACTGTTTATACCACCTGAAACCGATCCAAATGATCATTACAGAAGAAGGTATGATGATATTTGCGTATTGTACTGCGAAGTTGTCGTTATATAGTAAGACTTGGAGCCAAATGGCTTTTTTCTTATTTTTTGGGCTTGTTTCCTTCAGAATTGCCAGCAAAAGCTTTTACGGTGACTTTAGAAATACGTTGATTCCCTTGTAATCCCAATTTCTGATGAATGTTCGCTTTCAACTGCGCAAAGGTAGTACCGCGTGTAATACGCATTGGTCGTTTTTCACCTTCAAATGTTACACCATGACGACCCATAACCTTTCTACCATTACAATATATAAGTGCACGAACTGTTTGTAAATTTGAACTCATTTTTCCTGCAAAAAATTCCACAAAAGATAGAAATACAAAATATTTAATATGGTAGAAACTATGTAATATAATGCAATATAACAAAACTACTACTTAGTGCAACGTATGAAATAATATTAGCTGAGGTGCCTTGAAAATGTCTTTATTTTTTTACATACAACATATAATTACTAGGATAAATTTTTAGTGGAAAATAAATACTAAAGTATAAAGCATACATGAAATAACAAATAAAAAGCATGATTAACTATGAACATAATCTGATATTCATAATTTTATTTTTTCATATTACAAAAAACACTTCAACTAAGCAACAGAGAAAGTATGGAACATTGAGTTTGAAATACTATTTTTCCATAAAAGAACAAACAACACAACTCAACGTTTTTTTTTCCGCAAGAACAAACAACGCTCAACGTTTTTTTTCCATAAAAGAACAAACAGCTCAACATTTTTTTTTCCATAACAGAACAAACACTTCAACAAAAGTATAGAACAAAGATAGATACCAGAAGGCCTTAACGCTGAGTGAAATGCAGAGGCAAACTGATGATATGGGGACCGGGAGTGGTAGTTAATATAGGCCCGGACACGGTTGGGGAAGAGACATTTTCAGGACTCCCACAGTCCATGGAGAAATTTGATTGGCTAATTGGACGCGTTTGAACCAGCGTCACGTTTGTTTTGAAATGACTAACCGGAACATGTTTGATTACCTACCGCGTCTGGTGCATCGTGGACTGACCGGAAGTGACTGGTTGCAAATGACGCGGCAGTTAATATATCACGTCTTAGGACACGGTACAGAACGTAGCAGGGACGTGGTAGGGATGGTATCACGTCTTAAGGACACGGTACAGAACGTAGCAGGGATGTGGTAGGGATGGTATCACGTCTTAAGGACACGGTACAGAACTAAGGAAACGGTACAGAACGTAGTATCACGTCCTTAAGCGTCAATTTCCCAACCGCGTTGTCATGCATTATATTGGCAAAACTTTTCATCCACAAATTATTCCGGTGATACATTTTAAAACTCACATCACCATGGTCAAAAGGCCGAATGTAACTGACACAATCCACAGTTCCTTATACACCGAGGTTCGGTTTTCATCATCCATGATGCTTATAATTTTATCAATTTTCACATCCTAGTCTTCTAACCGGATCATCATGCTTCAATATTACTAGTTTTCTGTCTTATAATTTAATACCTTAATAAATATCAAAGATCCCATTATTCCTACATGCACCAATTTAGTCTTACAACTATCACTTAATAAATTTTTTCTTTCTCTAACATACCCTACTACTATCACTTAGTCATGGGTAATTAAAAATAGCATGCAGCCTTCGTACTCTCTAACACATGCCAAAATTACTAAATTTTCTAATTAAGGGACAGTTCAACCCATTTAAATGGCTATATTCAAGTTCCCAAAATCGGTCCTTAGGCATGAATAACACATTTTAACAGACTGACCGCAAAAGTTTCATACATACAAAAACTTAATTAAATTTTTCTAATTCAAGGCATAATCCAACAAAACTAACGGGAGTCATTTCCAAGCTCACCAATCGGTTCTCCTTGTGCTTACAAGCACCAAGTCTATGGGTTTTCAAAAGAGGTAGAACGCAAAGGAGTAGAGTGACCAAACCGAATCAGAGGGAGGAAAGGAGATGGCACGGTTTCAGATTCCTACCTTGTATGTGTTCCCAACTAGTTCCCCAAATCCGTTCATGATCCTCAACCAAAAGAGGACAGCGCCCTCTCATTCCTACTGTCCAAAGGATTGAAACAGAAAACACATAAATAACAGCCCACACATCTTCTCATATACCGAAATCAGAAAGTAATTAGTGTGTGAGTCGCTCACTTGTTCTTGTAGGTGAAGGAAGGTGAGTTAGAACTTAAAAATGCTGGTATTTCATGTTAGAAATCAGATTTGCAGCTGCATGCAGGGGGAGTTCCCTTGAGAGCCGAAAGAAATAATCTGCATGCAATGAATCTCCTCATCAAACCGAAGAGGGAAAGAATGAACAAGGGAATAGGAATTTCTACAACTCTTTGAATGGAAGCACACGACCGAACAAGAAAGTAGAAGGATGGCCTCATATTGGGTTCTCCTTGGCTGTACGCATGAGAGGCTAGGGAACAAAGGTTGTGGCTGAGATTAGTTAAAAAAATAAGGATGAAGTCAGCTTATGGCT